AGTTGTTTACATGGCCATAGTGGGGTGATATCTCAAATCACCACTTTCAGGCTTTGTCAGACATCTTGTGTTGTTTGTTCTGAGACTTGTTCTGAGACTTACTCCCATAAGTCTCAGAACAAACAACACAAGATGTCTGACAAAGCCTGAAAGTGGTGATTTGAGATATCACCCCACTATGGCCATGTAAACAACTTGATCTACATAGGAAAAAACCCTGACTAAAAAAGTATTATGTATGTATGTATGTATGTATGTATGTATGTATGTAAGTTTTCACGGTTATATATGTGTGTACAGTTAATATCTCGGGTTTCTTCCCGTGTAATTGTAAACATATCCTTAAAAGGGTAGTAGCGACGTTTCGACGAAATCGCATTCGTCATCTTCTGGCTGAAGTTCTCAGTTTGGTGCTTATGGGCAAAAAAACAAAACAAAAAAAAAAAGTTTGCCCATAAGCACCAAACTGAGAACTTCAGCCAGAAGATGACGAATGCGATTTCGTCGAAACGTCGCTACTACCCTTTTAAGGATATGTTTACAATTACACGGGAAGAAACCCGAGATATTAACTGTACACACACACACACACACACACACACACACACACACACACACACACATATATATGAAGAAGATTCCCTTTAGGAAGGTATGGTTTAAAACAAATGAATTTTGCAGTGCGGCATCTTACTGTTTCATAAACAGGTTGAATCAGCTTCTCTTTCCTGCACCATTCCAGAAGATACATTTTGGGGGTAATTTGTGGGGGATACTCTCGTCTGAAGAGGAAAAAAGAAAAGAAAACAATAAATACTCACTCTAGGCCAGGGGCTGCAATCATCTTCAACAGTCCAATCTGTTACACCAACGTTTTTAAAATTGGGCAATTTTAAGAGGTGTGGACTTCAACTCCCAGAATTCTCAAGTCAGCAGCCTGGCTGGGGAACTCTGGGAGTTGAAGTCCACACATTTTGAAGTTGCCAAGTTCAGAAAACACTGTACTAGAGGACGGGAAGAAGCTTCTGCTAGTCCTGCTCTTCTGAGAGGTGAAAAAAAGTTGAAATGCGGAGATCAATGGTGGATTGCTCCCGGTTCGGTCCAGTTCTTGCGAACCAGTAGCAACGGTGGCAGGAGGCTCCGCCCACCCACCCAGATGTCATCATGAACGATCTGTGCATGCGCGCACTCCTGTTGCGAACCAGTAGCGGAGGTAAGTAGAACCCATCCCTGGAGAAGATGCTGATTTTCAGGAACAAAATCAGTGCTTTAGAATAAGGTACGTTTACTGGGCCTAAGCAGGAGGAGAGGGACGCGGTGGCTCAGTGGCTAATATGCTGAGCTTGTTGATCGAAAGGTCGGCAGTTCAGTGGTTCGAATCCTTAGTGGCGCGTAATGGGGTGAGCTCCCGTTCCTTGTCCCAGCTTCTGCCAACCTAGCAGTTCGAAAGCACGTAAAAAAAATGAAAGTAGAAAAATAGGGACCACCTTTAGTGGGAAGGTTACAGCGTTCCATGCACCTTTGGCATTTAGTCATGCTGGCCACATGATCACGGAGACGTCTTCGGACAGCGCTGGCTCTTCGGCTTTGAAACGGAGATGAGCACTGCCCTTTACAGCCGGAAATGGCTAACACACATGTGCGGAGGAACCTTTACCTTTTTAAGCAGAAGGAGAGCTTACATTCAGATTTGCAAGAGACTGTTATTACAGTCTATTAAGAAAATATAGTGCTAGTGTTCCTGTGAAATCTGTTTTTTGATTTGGTCCAACCCCGAAGGGCGGATTGAAAAAAATTAACCCAAGAAACGAATGATCAGAATGGATTATCCTAATCATAGGGAAGGGCAGTGGAATTACGGAGGTTAACCCAAAAGGTGCTTTTTCGAAACCAAGCAGGAAGTGATTGGCTTGTCCCAAAGGTGCTTTTTCAAAAGGCAACTGGACTTTGTTTTTCCTTGAGGAGGTTTCGCTTCTCATCCAAGAAGAAGAATTGAAGAAGCTTCTTGAATGAGAAGCAAAACCTCTTCAAGGAAAAAAAAAAAACCCAAGAAAATCCAGTTGCCTTTTGAAAAAGCACCTTTGGGATAAGCCAGGAGTCAACAACCCATGGCTCTGGAGTCGCATGTGGCTCTTTCATCCCTCTGCTGCGGCTCCCTGTCGCCGGTCGGCTCCATAATTGATAGAGCTTTAGGTTAGGACAGGTAGAAGAAAAAGGATGCCGTGCTAGGAGGAGACTCTATGGTGGGGGAACCGGATTTCCGGTTGATAGAGGAAAAAGGATGCCACTCTAGGAGGAGACTCTATGGTGGGGGAACCGGATTTCCGGTCGGCTTCAGAATTGAATGGGGGGGGGGGCTTCAGGTTAGGACCTGCAGAAGTTGTGAATGCTCCAACACTGGAAATTTTTAAGAAGATGTTGGATAACCATTTGTCTGAAGTGGTGTAGGGTTTCCTGCCTGGGCAGGGGGTTGGACTAGAAGACCTCCGAGGTCCCTTCCATCCTATCCTATCCCTTTGTGGCTCTTTGAGTGTTTAAGGTTGCCAACCCCTGGGACAAGCCAATCACTTCCTACTTGGTCCTTTAAACTGGAGATACTAAAGAACGCACCCAGGACTTTTCACGTAGTTTGGCTTGCAATTTTTGCAAGGATAAAAAGTGAATGCCAAGCATCTTTGCCCAGGATGGACTGAATGTGGCCCTAATGATCCTCAGTAGTCCATCTCAGTGTTTCTCAAGCTCACCAACTTTAAGAGGTGTAGAAGCATGCTACAGTAGTGCCTGTAGTTTGATGGCTAATAACACCACTTTTTTTTGGAGTTTCAAGATAATCCTATTCCACTGCTGGAATGGCCTGGGAATAGCCCAGACCTTAAAACCCAATTGGAAATCTATGGAGCCGACTAAAGAAATTTGTTAGTCAGAAGTGACCCAGCAATAAACCCCAGTTAATAGAAGCCGTCATTCAATCTTGGTTTCACATTAGAACAGCTGCAGAACTCAAAGACTTGGTTCACTCCATGGGAGATGTTGTAAGGCCGTCATTCATGCTAAAGGTTACCCAACTAAGTATTCACTAAAATGGTGATCATTTTTGTATATCTCGTTCCTTCTACGTGTTTCACTTTTCTTCTTTATACTGTAACTGCTATTCTAATAGCAAATCCTTCATAAAAGTTATTGCATGACATTCTTGATTAAAGTATCTTTCCATTGATACATAATTTTATGGTACTACTCCAAACAAAAGTGGTATTATTAGCTAGTTTTAAAAAAATACACTTTTCCCAAAAAAATTCCACAATTTTGGCCACTGTTGTAAGCTGGGGGTTTCTGGGAGTTGGAAGTCCACAGTTCTTAAAAGTTGCTGAACATGAGAAGCACTGATCTACATCAGAAAAGGTCATCTCAAATCTACTGACTTGCTAAAGTTCTTGGATCAACTGTTGATCCAGTCTTATGACTGCTTCTTAGGTTAATAATCAAACTATCAGAATAGAGCTGGAAGGACCGTCTTCAAAGGAAAAGCAAAGTCCAGTTGCCTTTTCAAAAAACATCTTTGGGACCTGGATGAATGAGAATCTCCCAACATATGGAAGGTAATGAAACATCACGGTGAAACTCAACCCTAGCTTTATGAGACTGTAAGGACCACTATTCAAGCAAGTCGGCAGTGTCAGCGTCTCAGAACTGACATAAAAAAAGGAGGAGAAGCCTGAACTTTTTGCCTGCTAAATCCCTTTGAAGATTCGGTCTCCTCGGAGATGGGGAGGGGGGAGACATTCCTGTGACCTGACGAAAAAGGAATCAGGAAAGTGACTTGGAAGATAGCCAATGAGAAGCAGAGAATTGGGGATTGGAAAGGGAGGGATTGGGGGGCAAAGGTCAGTACTGACCGCGAAAAGAGTCAGGATCAGATTGCTGTGCTCGAATAAAGGGAAAATTTCCTTAAAGATCGGCAGTTTGGAAGTTCATTTATTTTGAGATAGCATCGAAACCCGACAGGCAGTTTAGCAGAAATCTGGTTATTTTAGTATCCAGTATGTGCAGAGAAGAGCAACAAAGATGATTAGGGGTCTGAAACATATGAAGAACAGTTGCAGGAACTGGGTATGTCTAGTCTAGTGAAGAGAAGAACCAGGGGAGACATGATAGCAGTCTTCCAATATCTCAGGGGCTGCCACAAAGAAGAGGGAGTCAAGCTCTTCTCCAAAGCACCTGAGGGCAGGACAAGAAGCAATAGGTGCAAACTAATCAAGGAGAAAAGCAACTTAGAACTAAGGAGAAGAGATTGTAGAAAAAAATGCTTTTAAAAGGCTCTGACGATCCCAGCTGAGCAGGGCGATCATCAGAGGCATTTTTTTTTTTTACTTTAAAAGCAAAAGTACTTTAAAAGCATTTTTTCGGCTGAAGAGGTTGTAGAAAAAATGCTTTTAAAAGTTAAAAAAAAGCCTCTGATGATCACGCGGCTCAGCTGAGCATGGGGGCGCAGGGATTTTTGCTATTGGTTCTCCGAACCACCCGCTGCCATCGCTACCGGATCCGGTCCGAACCGGGAGCATTTCACCCCTGCCCAAGATCCTTTCCATGGTCATAATATATTCATATTATATTCAGTAACAGTATATTTCAACCTGACCTTTGCAATAGATTTTTATTATCAACATTTTACAAAGGCTGATTTTAAAATATCAGCGGTTTTCATTAGTTTTCCTTAATATGGGCAACTTTAGGATTCAACATTTCTCCATAAAATACGGGAGAAATGAACTTCGGAGCAAACTGTGCTGGCTTGAGCCTAATTTGACACTGCAAGACCACACTTGTGTTATTGTGTGAACGCAACTCAACGATATATTCCTCAGCAAAGTGCAATTAAAATCGTGGCTTAATGTGGTGCTTGAACACAGGCAATTGTGCCTTATCAAACCAAGATTAAACAGCCTATGGCTTAGTGTAACCCAGAAGCTCTCTCAATCTTTAGTATTTAAAAGAATCAGAGGATGCTAATTATCTCACTTACTTATCAAACCTAACTGCCATCTTGATGACATCTGTGTCTTCAGTGTGATCATCATTATTTGGGCTCTTGACTTGTAGCGAAACTTTTTTCTTCTCCAGTAAATCAGATGCTTCTTGGAAGAAACTACTCATATCGAAAACTTCACTAATGAAAAAAGAAAAAAAAAATCAATGAATGATGGCTTCTATTAACTGGGTTTTATTGCTGGGCCGCTTCTGACTCACAAGTTTCTTTAGTCAGCTCCATAGATTTTCAATTGGGTTAAGGTCTGGGCTATTCCCAGGCCATTCTAGCAGTGGAATAGGATTATCTGGAAACTCCCCCAAAAAAGTGGTGTTATTAGCCATCAAACCTCAAAAATTCACTTTTCCCAAAAGGTTTCCACAATTTTGGCCACTACTATACTTGGGAAGAGGTTTCCTTAAAGACTTACTTCTGAGCAGTGTTGAATAAAAATGTTGTTTTCACGTAGATTCAACGTCTTACAGTTAAGCTTTTCAGGTCTTTAGGGGTTTTCCGATAAAAAAAAAAACTAACATCAATTTTAATGTTAACATGTATGATTTTAATGTTTTAATGTTTGCCTTGTTGCTTTTACTTCGTTGTAAGCTGCCTCTTACAGCAAGATGGGCAGCATATACATTTAACAAATAAGCAAACAGAGCAAGTGGTATTCAAAAGAACTCTTGATAATTTTACGTTAGGTTTTGATATTACTTTGAATAGTATAAGATGAATAAAATAAGTAAGATTAAATTCCACCAGTGATATGAAGATTAGAATTATTTTAACAGAATAGTAGTAGATTTTCTTCCAGCAATGGCGGTTAGCGTGCTTTAAAACAAGATGTAAACAAAAGTGCCAAGTTTTTATATTAAAAACTTTTAATGAATATTTTAATACATTTGCATTTTTGCTGTACTTTACGTTTTTGGCTTTATCCAGGGACACTTTAATTAAAGTAAAAAGCCCTTACCAGATTTCCTGTAAAGACTGTGCAGCGTGAAGCTTCTTTCCTTGTGCGTTTTCTAATTGCTCCCTTAACATCTGGCACAAGCAATACTTTGTATTGGTATAATGATTATCGTATCTCACTGCCTAAGGGAAAACAAGATGAATAACAACGCTTTAACAATGGAGAAAGAAAAGTTTTAGAATAAGAAAGTTCAAATAGTTCAAATTTTGTCTCTAACTTTTTGTAAACGAAGAAGATATCCATATTCATTTTAGACCTCATTAACACAGCCTGGCCAGTCCTTCAAACCCAATTCTCATTCATTTCAAGAAAGGCGGATTTCCAACTCTTTTGAATTGCAGGAAATTTTAAAATACCGTATTTTTCAGAGTATAAGACGCTCTGGAGTATAAGACGCACCTTAGTTTTTGGGGAGGAAAATAAGAAGAAAAAATTCTGCCTCTGCCTACCAGCATCCATCGGTATTCATCTGGCTAGCATCCTGTCAGTGTGTGATAAAGTTGAGGACTGTTTGGAAACTGAAACAGTATTTGCTGGGTGAGCAACAAGGAGACAGCAAGGAGCCTGGGCGTGGCTTATCTCTGCAGCTCTGAGTCTGTGCTGAACTGTAAACTAGTCTGCTGCTCAAAACTGAAACTGAAACTCCTCTCCTCTGCTTGTGTTTTGCTTGAATTTACTACCACGTTGGAACACCTGCTCTTGATATTGTATATTTACTTCATGTGTTATATTATATATAAAGAGAAGTCATTGAATCCTGCTGAATCAGTTACTTGTGTGTGCTTTCTGGATGTGAGTCCTTGCAGCAAATAGAAAACAGCCAGATCAGCTTCAGCACATTATTGCAGCCTGATTCAGTACAAGCAGCTGATTGGAGGGTGGATCAGCTTCCCAGAATACCCCAATCAGCTGTTCCAGGCTGCAGGTATTGTCACAGACCATCGCTGCCTCTGTGCTTCACGTTTTTGGCTACATTCAGTGTATAAGACGCACCCAAATTTTCACCCTCTTGGGGGGGGGGGGGAAGAGTACGTCTTATACTCCAAAAAATACAGTATGTGAGAAACCTGGCACTAAAGAAGTCATCTCTCCCTCGTATCAGAGATCGACACTGGATAAACTGTGTAGCTGACAGGTGGGGAACAATTACTCCATTAAGGACAGACTTCCCTTCAATACAATATCTATTTCTGATTAGATTTATATGCCACCTTTCCTTCAGGATCTCAAGGAGACTTACACAGAGCTTCTTCTCCTTTTTTCCCTACAACAGGGGATCTCCAAACCTGACAACTTTTAAGACTTGTGTCAGGCCTGGAAGCCATCTTTTTCGTTGGATCTTCAGACCTGCCACGTTTACTACTGTGGGAAACTGGGAGGGGGGAATTGTATGGAGCAGGGGTGATATATATATCATAATAACATTCCTTTCTCAAGAGAGTCAAGGACATCTTGCTCTGCACCTGGAAGGCTGGAACTGGGAGGCATCCCCAGTTGAGATGGTGCTTGGATTGGACCATGTGATGGACATGTGGGTGTTGGGCAGGGACTTGAACTTTTCTTTGGGTGGGGAAAACTGGAAGCTTTCAGATTCGGGTTTTCCCAGATGTGCCAATATAACATCTCTAATAAAATGGAACTTTGAGGAACTTCAAGCCTTGGAGTCTTCTTTCGTTGGGGGTGTTACTTGGAACTCTGATGTTAACTCGAATCTGCATTAAACAATATACCAGCTCCCTGGATACCAGGGTGCTGTCCAGGGTCCTGAGCCCCGAACCCGGGCGGCGTGAAGATTCAGAGAAGATGGAGGAGGAAAAGATGACAACTTGTGGATTTAAAGACTTGAGGAACTCCTAGAATTCCTCAGCCCTACAGCAATAATCCTATAAAACAGGCTGGGCTGGCCCAAAGACATCAAAGGAGTTTCCATGGCTGAGGGCAGATGAGAACCTCCCAAGTGCCAGGCAAATACCTTAATGCCTAAACCACAATAGCTATCATATGGAAGTTTGACTTAACCACCGTGTTACTAATTTAACAGCTGCGGTGATTCCACATTCACAAATGTGGCAACAAAAGTCGTAAAATGGGCCAAAACTCACATAACAAATGTCTCGCTTAAAAACATACATTTTGGTCTCAGTTGTTGTCATTAAATACCGGTATAGGGCTGCAGGATCTGCAGTTATGAAACCCCCCAAAATGGGGGTCCATGGTTTCATGAGATTGCACACAAGACATAATTAAGGTTTTTGTTTTTCCTAAGAGACTGCTATCAAGGATGCATACGTATTTGATATATTCCTGCATGACGTCCTTCAGGGGCAAAAGTCCTTCCTTCCTGAAGACAGAGGGGTTCCACATGGCAGCCCGGGCCACCATTACGGAAGATGCCGAGGTTGCCTCCTGGAAGATCCGAAGGTCAGAATACGCTTTGACGAAATCATGAGATCCTCCACTGAAATAAGAAAAAGATGATATGCATTAGCAGCAGCACGAACATGGTGCAAATGGCAGGTTAGATGTTGTGTCTATGAAGAGTCTCAATTATCCAGATCACAGTTGTACCAAAAGAGGTTTTTATTTTGAAAAAGCAACCAGACTGGTTTTTATTTTTATTTTTTGAGGAAAAACAAGACTTTTCGCTTCCTATCCTGGAAGCTACATCAGGGATCGTATCGGGATGCTGTGGGAGATGGAAGGAGAGTTGAGATTAGTTGGTGAAGAGGTGGGATTCAGCCGGTTCGGATGAAACAGTAGTGGTGACTTGTGGGTGGGCTTGCCCACCCATCTGGACACAATCCCGTCCTATATCGCTGTTTTTTTGATGCCACAAGCATGTGCAGATGGCGCACGCGAGCGAACTGCCGTGTTGTTTGACACCGCAGGCTGTTGTGACCCAGGGCCAAGTAGTTCGTATTAAATACAAACAGTTAGAAAACAAACAGACTTTATTAGAACAGCTGAGAATTAACTCATTCTCAGCGTAGTCCAAAGTAAATTAAAGCAAATTCTTCAAAACACCATTCCACAGTTTATCACTGACCTTGGGATAATTAGGCAAACTGCCAAAGGCTTTTCTTGGCAAAAGTTCAGAAGCAGAAGATGCCAACAAGAAATGAATACAGTGAAACAAGAAGCAAATCTCTCAACGTCATTTTCAGAGGTCAGCGATAAACTAAAGACTGGTGTTTTGAGGACTTTACTTTCATTTAATTTAGAATACGCTGAGAATGAGTTAATTCTCAGCTGTTTTAATAAAATCTGTTTGTTTTTTGGAACTGTTTTGCATTTAATATCAACTACGCCGGCCTGGGTCACAACAAAATGTATATTATTAATAGAAATATATAAGTTGATTGAATGTAATATCTATGATTAATTCTACTAGTTTTATTCATATTAGAATGTGTGACACTCAGACGCCACACTGTTCATGCATTGATATGTTTGTAAAATAAAATAAAAAATAAAAAACTTGGGGGGGAAAAACAAGGGCTACCTATATAGCAGATGTCCGAAACTCTGCTTAACTGCAGAGGAAGCAACATTTATGTTCACAATGCGCTTTGTCGATCCGTGCAGCTTGTTTGCACCAAGATTGGATTTGCCTGCCTTAAGAGCGAATTTGTTCTACTTACTTGGCTATTACTGGGATAGAAACTGCCTCGGAGATGGCTTTGATCACGTCGCAGTGGACAGGGTGCTGAGGCCTCTCTTCTTTCTTCCTTCAAAAATGAAAAAGATCAGGGATTAGCAAGAAAGGGGAGTCAACTTTGAGCCGGTCGGAATCGAACTCCTGGCAGTGGGCAGAGTTAACCTGCAATACTGCATTCTAACCACTGCACCATCATGGATTTTTTTTTGCAGTACAGCCTGTTCTACCAATTCCAGCTCAAAGGGTTTTATGATGTAAGGACTCACAATATTTTTTTTTTCTTTTCAGATGTAGAATTATTTACCTTCCATGAACGGCAATTGCAGCAACTCCAGCCTGCTCTATCCTCTTTACCAATCTTAGCGTTTCTTCATCCTGAAAATGATTGGGAGGTGGGGGTGAAACATTCAACACTCACCCCAAGTTTGTTACTTAACTTTTCTGAAACTAAATGTGGATGAGGTTCCACACAATAAGTATGCACATTTTTTTTAGGGATAGGGTTGGTTTTTTTTTTAGACATGCGATATCTGAAATACTGTAATATATTCTTACCGATGACAAAATTCGGATTTTGCAGGTGACTGGCTTAGATACACCATTGATGAGCGTAGTCAGAATCTAAAGAACAGGAAACAACAGCAGTTTTTTAAGAACCACAGATGCAGAATGATTGCTTGGAAAACGTAGGTGAATACTGCAAAAGATTATTTCTCCATTAGGAAGAGTCATCTCTCCACAAGTTCTCAACCAAGTAATAAACAAGCTAAATGACTCTTAAAATGATTTCCTATTGCGTTTTTCTCACAAACAAGGTCCACAATTCTACCTGCAAGCTGTATACAAATCTTTCTGGGCTCAGCCTGATCCTCCAGACAAACTCTGAATTAGGAACAGGGGAAGCTTGAATACGTTCCCATGTGCCATTAAGTGTTAAAGGTAAATATAAAGGTTCCCCTCGCATGTATGTGCTAGTCGTTCTTGACTCTAGGGGGCGGTGCTCATCTCCGTTTTAAAGCTGAAAAGCCAGCGCTGTCCGAAGACGTCTCCCTGGTCATGTGGCCAGCATGACTCAACGCCAAAGGCGCACAGAACACTGTCACCTTCCCACCAAAGGTGGTCCCTATTTTTGGCATTTTTTACGTGTTTTCCAACTGCTAGGTTGGGCAGAAGCTGGGACAAGTAACGGGAGCTCCCCCCCCTTATGCGGCACTAAAGATTTGAACCGCTGAACTGCCGACCTTTCGATCGACAAGCTCAGTATCTTAGCCACTGATAACAAAAAGCGAGCAAAAAAAAAAATCATTTAGTTGTGACACCTGTACACTTTTGACATAACTCCACTCAACATTCTCATGCCCTGCTACCTTTTGCAACCCCCTTCAGTTCCTCCAACCTCCACCTGCTTTTATTTTTTATAAATAACCACAGAAAATGATAAGCAGGGCACTCTGCATACTCACAGATTCTATTCTGTCCGGATCAGACAAGAGGGCTGCTCCCATTCCTCCCTGGGGAAAATACACACAAAAAAAAGACCTTCGTTCATCATCTCGGCAGCTCAAAATATCTCAAGGAGGTTCTACAGGTAGTCCTCGACTTACAACCATTCATTAGGATTCAGCACAAAGTGTGAACTTAAGCTCCAACTGCTTCTTCACAGGAGTAAAATACAAACAGCCCAAAGTTGTCTTGCTTTAAAAAAATTATTGATACATTTTACATTAGTCTATTAGCTTTATTTTCTGTGTCTGGTGGAAAGTTTAGAATCATGCAGGGAGGCCTCCCACTGCTTTCCTACTTAGACACCGATCATATTACCAGATCATGCATTAACGTGAAAATACAAGGAAATGAATGGGAAGTAGTACAAGAGATGTCTACAAGAGATTCTCAGTCCTCCAGGTCATGGTTGTCCCAAAGGTGCTTTTTCAAGAGGCAACTGGACTTTGTTTTTTTTTTTGAAGACACTTCGCTTCTCATCTCCCGTTTCCCTGAAAATAAGCTTTCCCCAAAAATATTTAAACGCATGCGCAGCCGATCCCCGCAGCCGGTCCCCCCCGAGGCAGAGCTGGAAATCAGGTAAGACAGCAAGAGGAGTCCCATCTTGCTCCACGCGCCCCAAAATAATAAGACCTCCCATAAATAAGGCCAAGCACTTATTTCAGGGTTCAAAAAAATATAAGACAGGGTCTTATTTTCGGGGAAATACGGTAAGAAGCTTCTTGGATGAGAAGCGAAACGTCTTCAAAGAAAAAACAAACAGTGTAAGATACGTTTCATAACTTCTCAATAACTCAGAAGTGAATCAGGAAGTCAACGGGACAGCAGGCACGTTTTTTTCTGGAGTAAGCTAGAATTTCACATCTTTTAGTGTGCAAAAAGGGATGCTTAGTTTGCATGTAACTGGTCAAAACAAGGAAGTGGTCAGCACTGTTAAACCAGCCAAATGTATCAGGATGGCTTCAACCAATCTTGGTCTAATGTTAGGTTCAAAAGCAAGAAATACTGAGGTCACTTCCTTAATATGACACAATCGAAACACAAAAACTCTGATTGAGATTCTGGCTTCCCGAGAGAAAAACAAGCAAGCAAACTTATTCATATGTCAGTCTAAAAGGAAAAAAAAAACCCAAATTGTTTTCCTGTTCTTGGACACAAGGTTTCTGTTAATGTACTTAGCTACTATGTCACAACACACAATTCTTTCAGTTAAGGACAAATGTATTTGTCGGCCGCCTTGAAAGAGGCGGTGGTGAGGCCTCTCCTCAAGAAGCCATCCCTGGACCCGGCTGTTTTGGCTAACTATCGTCCAGTCTCCAACCTTCGCTTTATTGCGAAGGTTGTTGAGAGTGTGGTGGCACGACAGCTTCCCCAGTACCTGGATGAAGCTGTCTATCTGGATCCGCTCCAGTCCGGCTTCAGACCTGGGTACAGCACGGAAACGGCATTGGTCGCGTTGGTGGATGATCTCTGGAGAGCCCGGGATAGGGGTTCTTCCTCTATCCTGGTCCTATTAGACCTCTCAGCGGCTTTTGATACCATCGACCATGGTATCATGTTGCGCCGGCTGGAGGGACTGGGAGTGGGGGGCACCGTTTTGCGGTGGTTCTCCTCCTATCTCTCCGACCGGTCGCAATCCGTGTTGACAGGGGGGCAGCGGTCGACCCCAAGGCGCCTTGTTTGTGGGGTGCCGCAAGGGTCGGTCCTCTCGCCCCTCCTGTTCAACATTTATGTGAAGCCGCTGGGTGAGATCATCCGTGGTTTTGGGGTGGAGTTCCATCAGTACGCTGATGATACTCAGCTGTACATTTCCACCCCAGACCATCCCAATGATGCCTTGGAAGTGATGTCCCAGTGCCTGGAGGCCGTGCGGGTCTGGATGGGGAGAAACAGGCTTCGACTCAACCCTTCCAAGACCGAGTGGCTGTGGCTGCCGGCGTCCCGGTATAGCCAGCTGACGCCATCGCTGGTTATTGGGGGCGAATCATTGGCCCCCACGGAGAGGGCCCGCAACTTGGGTGTCCTCCTGGATGCGCAGCTGTCTTTAGAAGGGCATATGACAGCCGTGGCCAGGGGGGCTTTTTGTCAGGTTCGCCTGATACGCCAGTTGCGCCCCTTTCTGGACCGGGACTCCCTACGCACGGTCACTCAAGCATTCGTCACTTCTCGTCTGGACTATTGTAACACTCTCTACATGGGGCTCCCCTTGGGGTACACCCGGAGGCTCCAACTGGTGCAGAATGCGGCTGCGCGGGGGATTATGGGAGCGACGGGGCGCTCCCATGTGACTCCTCTCCTGCGCGAGCTGCATTGGCTTCCGGTGGACTTCCGGGTGCGCTTCAAGGTGTTGGTGATCACCTTTAAAGCGCTCCATGGCTTAGGGCCAGGGTACTTACGGGACCGCCTTCTGCCACCAATAGCCTCCCACCGGCCGGTTCGCTCCCACAGAGAGGGCCTCCTCAGGGTGCCGTCGGCCAGACAATGCCGGCTGACGACCCCCAGGAGGAGAGCCTTCTCTGTGGTGGCACCTACCCTATGGAACAATCTACCCCCAGAGATACGAGTGATCTCCGACCTTCGGATTTTTCGTCGGGCCCTAAAAACTTATTTTTTCCAGTTAGCCGGTCTGTCTTGATTTTAGGGTTAGTTTTAAAATTTTAATATTGATTTTAAATTGACAAGTTTTAAATTATGGGCCAAATTTATAAATTATTTTAACTTTATTTTTTAACTGTGATGTTTTGTATAGATGTTTTTATCTTGGCTGTTCACCGCCCTGAGTCCGAAAGGAGAAGGGCGGTATAGAAATTTGAATAAAGTAAAGTAAAGTAAAGTATTTGCAGCCTGCAAATTCCTGTGTGGGGGTCATTTCAAAGGCTTGATGTTGTGGCCGGCCAGCGGAGCTGGCAGCAGAATCGGACAGTGAGGAGGTTGGGGAGGAACATGGGCCAGTCCTGGAGTCTGGGGAAGGCTCTGATGAGGGGTCTGCGTCAGAGGCAGAGAGAGGGCCAGGGCCATATGCCAGTTATCAGCTGCCTTCAGAGTCGGAATTCAGTGAGGCAGAGGAACAGCTGGAGCCTGTTCCCAGTGTGCGCATGCGCAGAGTTGCGAGATGAAAGGAACAGCTAAAGAACAAGGGTCGACTTGGGAGTAAGGCTACAGGTGGACAATGAATGGCCCTCCCAGAGGGAATAAAAGAGGAGCGAAAGGTGATTGGATTTTGCAGGAGAGAATTTAGTTCACTTAATTGGTTCGTGACTCTCTGAGACATCTTGCCAAGTTTTGAAGATATCAGATTGGCAGCTCCCCAAGCCAGATAAGGTCTGTGACTGTAAATTCTCCCTTGAAAGACTTTGCTGGATGTGATTGAGAGGAATTCACAGTAACTTAATAAAAAGGGGTTTTTGTCGGGACACGGAATCTGTTTCATGCTCTTGAGAAGCCTAGGTCAGAACACTTGAAAGAAAAAGGTGTTTCATACTTTTAGGGCCTTCGATTAAATGAATAAGAAAGATGACAAAATTCAAATGATGATCCAAGTTATGCAGACATTCATAAAATCGGAGGCATCTATCAATATGATTCAAAAAGAACTGCCGATGGGCAAAAATCATACCTTTGTGGAATATTCTTTGGGGCATCCCATGTTGACATCAATGCCAGCAACATCATCCTCTCTGAAAACGACAAGGCAAAAAGACAATCACAAATGCATAAGGAGATTTTAACATTTAGACACACCCAAACACTATTAAGCAATTCATTTTCAAAGCAACTTACAAGTGGCTGAAACAATGGGATGCAAAGCAATTGTTTTAGTCCATCATCATTTATTCTTGAAAATTTGCTTGTTTGTTTATTTTCGCATTGTCTTAGTTTATGTGGTTGCTTATCTCAAGTTCATTGTCAGAAGGATCAAAATTTCTCTTTGTCCAAACCAGATACAGCTCATGTACTAGCAGTTTCCGAATCAGTTTCCAATTGCCGATTTTATAAGTCACAAGAAGCCATACATAAATTGCATCTTCACCATAGAGAACACAACTCTGTTTTAAATTACCGTTAGTTATCTCTTACTGTGCATTTTTTGATTCTGTGCATTTATCTTAAAACTTTAGGAAAATAATTTTCAGACTTACTGTAAGATTTAATTTGCTTTTATTGAAGAAACAGCAACAAGCAGTTTCTAAATGGTTCTGCTAATTAACTCAAGAAAGTAATACTTTGCATAAATAAACAGCAGCCTTAGGCTATCACCAGTCCTAGTTACCCATAATTTCCTTGCTAAAAGAATACATTTGTGGGTGTTACTCTGTTTCCCCGAAAATAAGACCCAACCGGAAAATAAGTCCTAGCATGATTTTTCAGGATGCTCGTAATATAAGCCCTACCCCTCAAAATAAGCCCGTTAAGATTGACAGCCAGATGGATGCATTTAGTACCGTATTTCCCCCAAAATAAGACCTTACCAGAAAATAAGCCCTAGTATATATTTTGGAGCAAAAATTAATATAAGACCTAGTCTTATTTTCGGGGAAACACGGTATTAGTTAAATCAATGTTATCTTTTCATCCAACAGGAACTCAAGGCAGACAATGTAAGTACGGTCCTTTCCCTTCTCATCTTAGCCACCAAACAATTTTATGAGGTTTGTACAGCATAATGGACCCAAAGATACCCCATGGCTGAGGGAAACCTTTAACCTGGGTCTCTCTAGCTCTAATCCAATGCTCTACACTAGAGTTGTCCAACCTTGGCAACTTTTAAGACTTGAGTCTGGCTGGGGAATTCTGGGAGTTGAAGTCCACAAGTCTTAAAGTTGCCAAGGCTGGACATCCCTGCTCTAAATACTATGCCAAACTAATACTGTCAAGTTTTAATCCTGAGATATGCAAAATGTAAAAGAAATAAACATTATACAAATGGAAATGTGGATTGGAACTGCAACCCGGGCAGATTTAACTGGTAAAGGTATATGCCAAATAAAATTAAGTCTATACTAGATCCCACTTTAACTTTCTTTGCGTCTTTGTTTATTGTCATTTTTGTGGTTTTAGAGCAGGGGTGTCTAACTCGATTTCATTGAGGGCCGCATCAGGGTTGTGTTTGACCTCAGGTGGCCGGGGTGAGTGTGGCCAGTTTGACATCACTCCTGTCAGGGGGCGCCTGTGGAGGCCTGAGTGCTCTGCGAGCGAAAACGGGCTCCCGAGCTCCATTTTCAGCTGAGACAGCCTCCTGAAGCCCTCTGCCAATGAAAACAGAACTCGGTGGGGGAGCATGTGTGCCCCCAGCTCCTTTTTCACTGGCAGAAGGCTGCAGGAAGCTGTGGCAGCTGAAAACGCAGTCTGGGAGGGCCGCACATGGACCTCCCGAGCTCCAGTTTCGCTGGCAGAGGCACCGCGGGCCGGTCCTTCACTGTTTCCAGAGCAGCCCCACGGGCCAGATCTAAGAACCCCACAGGCCAGATCCAGACCCCGGGCCTTGAGTTTGACACTCCTGTTTTAGAGGAAGGAGCTGATGTAGTTTTGTTAGCATTGCTATAATTGGTTTTAACCTCCCTGGGGATGTTTTCACTTTTGTTTATATAACATATAAGCTGATGAGAATTGTTTGAACCAGCAGTGAAATCCTCTGAAGTCTGTTACCGGTTCTGTGAGACTGCTACCTAGCACGCGCTTTGCGCGAATATGCACACCTGGGCCATGCCCACGCAGAGCTAAAAAAGGAACATTTTGAAGCCTTCCAAGTTGCAAAGGTACCATATTTTTTGGAGTATAAAATACACTTTCCCTCCCCCCCTAAAAGAGGCTGAAAATTTGGGTGCGTCTTATACTCTGAATGTAGCTTTTTCGAAGCTTTTTTTCAGCCCTAATGAGGCGCTAGCGAGTGATCTTCCGTGTTTTGCCAGCTCCAACTCTCAGCTGTGAAGCTTTTTTTCAGCCCTAACGAGGCACTAGCGAGTGAAGCGATCTTCTGAGCTTTGCCTGCTTTTCTCATTGCTTCTCTCTCCAAAGATCAGCTGTGCTTTAGAAGCTGTTTTTGATCCCCAAGCAGGGGATAAAAATCAAGTGTGTGCTCGCTCAAAACCAACAAACTAATGTGCTGAAGCTGACCAGACTAAGGACACTAGCCAGATGAATACCTGGTAGGCAGATTCCCCCCCGCCCCATTTTCCTTCCCAAAAACTAAGATGCATCTTATACTCCAAAAAATACGGTAAGTAGAATAGCGAGGGGGGGGGGAAATCTGCTGTGTCATGCGATTTAGATTAGCTAGAAAGCAAGAAATCTGACAATTCTAGCTAATATAAATCGCGTGTCACAGCTGATCGTCACCCAGCTGATCATCAGAAATACCGGTTGGCCTGAACTGGTAGCACTTTTTACTACCGGTTCGGGAGAACCGGTCCGAATCTTTAGCATTTCACCCCTGGTTTGAACTTAACATCGAAGAAGTACAATACATAAGTAGCATGCATGTAAATATATTCTGACAGATACATACACAAGTTTGGCTACCGCCAAGGCTCTCTCAGCATCAGCTGTGCCCTGAACAACAGTGAGGGAAAAAAAACCACACAAGATTACTTTTCTAGAAAGATTATTCTAGCTCATTCTTCAGTTCAAGAGCTCCCCAAAATGCTTACATATACATTAAAAAAATATAGGTAGTCCTCATTTAAAAACCCTAAATAGGGACAGGCAACTCTGTCATTAAGCAAAGCAGTCATTAAATGGGAAATCACATGACCACAACTGCACTTTATGGCTGGAAAGAGAAAAGACTACTGTCATGCATAAGAATTTTAGTCAAATAAAATTCAATACTAAATCGGCACCAGATAAGGGTTAACAGAATTCAGGAGGGTTTGGACTTAGACCATTTGTGGGAACATAACGATTCTAGACTGATGACTCACTTAACTCCGCTCTCCAGCTCGGCCTGCTCTTCTCAAACCACTACTTAGGTACACACCTTCAGCTTTTGTTGGCCAACTTTCCCGCCCTTTGAAAGGCTCACGTGCCTGCTTCCTGTCTTGTACACACTGAAAGCAATGCAACTATGCTATAGTCCGTGGCTTGGAGCCACAGCCACGTTACACAAATAGCTTACTCTCTTGAAAACTCTTTCTCTCATTCCCTCTACTTTGTGAGAGGTGGGGGAAAGGTCAGGGAAACAAGAGATTACCTACAGAAATTTCTTTCTTTCTCTTTCTTTCTTTCTTTCTTTCTTTCTTTCTTTCTTTCTTTCTTTCTTTTTCTTTCTTTCTTTCTCTTCCTTCCTTCCTTCCTTCCTTTCCTCTCCCCACATGAGCAACCCGACTTTACGACATTTTAGTAGCAGTTGTTTTACTTTTAGCAGTTGGTTTTGCTTTTATAAATCATGCAGATTCATACCATTTGAAAGACAACACGGTCTTTTTCTCTTTCACACGTCCGGAACACCACTCTCTCATTGGGGGCAACAAAGTCCACAGTTCCGAGGATTTCTGTGAAGACACAGAAGAGAAAAAAAAAACTGTATTAAGGACTTAATTAACAGATTGTTAAATAATTAATAACACACCCATATTGCCATTCAAGATTTCACTTCCTAGATCATTACTACTGATTGCAGCCAGGCATTAAAACATGATATCCATGCTGTTTGCAATTTTATTAAATTTGCTGGCTAAGGCACTTTTACAGAAGCTCGGAATACTTCCAAAGCAAGGATCCTTTACATAAGTGTCAAAAACAATACATTTAATGATCTATAAATAAAGTTAAACATGCCAGCAATTTATAAGATGAGTCATAAGGAAGAACAACAGGTCAGTATTATTATATACATGTTTAGCTTAGTTTACAGCTGGAATGATTAATTATCTATACCATCATTTGATGAAAGGTTTATGGGTTACATATGCAAATATGTACCAACCAATTATTGCCATTTTTACTGGTGTTAATTTCAGTTTCACCAAAGACACTTTAATTTCTTTAACAAGCACGTTATCTAAAGAAAACAAACAGCATTAATCACTGTCTTAAACTACCAGTTAGGAAAAACAGAACTTTTTCATTTTATTTTTCACTCAGATATCAAATTAAATACTTGCCATTTACAACTCTTTTGCACTGAAGCATCTTTATGTCAATCAGCTCCTTAAAGAACAAGGCAGAGGTTACCAAAGAATTTTATCCCAACAGAAAAAAACAAAGCAAACAAAAACATTTTTTTAAAAAAGTAACCCCCTTTTTTCTTTAGTATAAAGAAAAAGGGAAAGACATCCAGGCTGTTTTCTTAGCAACAATGTCTAAGTGGCTTGTCACTGCCATCTTCTGAGATATTTCAAGACTAGTTTTCAGCTCTGGAAATTCCCTAGTAATCTCTCTTCCCAGTTAGTATTGGTCAACTCTGCCATTTGCCAAGACAGAACTAATTATGTAAATACTGAAGAAACTTTTACAATCAGAGTCCCAAACGCTTCAAATATGGCATCTAGCAACCTACTTGTGAACTCTGTTCAGAGTATTTCCCTCTATGAATTACTACATAGTGGTTAGTATACATTATGTATACTGCACGGCAGTGGTGAAATCCTCCCCGGATTGGCATCGTTTCGCTGCCCATGCATGCACGGTTCGCACCAAACACATGCTTTGTGCGGAAAAAGTTTGTGCAGAAAAACATCAGAAAAAACAATGGCTACCAACCTGCCTTCCATTGAGGACCTGTATACAGCACGAGTCAAAAAGATATTCTATTCTATTCTATTCTATTCTATTCTATTCTATTCTATTCTAAAAGGACGCTTAACAAGGTAAGTAGAACAGCGAGGGGAAGAACAGCTGTGCCACGCTATTTAGATTCACTAGAAAGCAGGATTTCCTGCTTTCTAGCGAATATAAATTGTGCAGCACAGCTGATCGTTGGAAATACTGGTTCGGACCAACCGGTAGCTTTTATCACAACCGGTTCGTGTGAACTGCTGTGAACCGGTAGGATTTCATTACTGCTGCACAAGTGAGAAAAAGGGCTGAGAAAATATATACAGAACTCTCACACCCTGGACATAAACTATTTCAACTTGTCCCCTCAAGATGCCGCTATAGGGCGTTGCATGCCAAAACAGCTAGACACAAATACAGGTTTTTCCTTCTGCTGAATACTCAGTTACCAGAGTACTGTCTTATATCTAAGTGTATATTTACCCATCTAGTATGGCTGTGTTACTATTATCCTTCTCATCTTTTCTACTACTTTCTCCTATTGGTATCCTATGATTATATTACTCTGTATGTATACCGAGAGTTTATACATCGGAGACAAATTTCTTGTTTTATCCAATCACACTTGGCCAATAAAGCCATCTAGTCTAGTCCTATTCTATTATCTCCTGAGAAAAATGTGAAAGAGATGAAAATGCCCGTGTCCCCTACCTCACAATATACAATATCGGCACCATAATCCAAAGCCAGTAGTCTCATCGGCAGGGTCCCAACCCGAACCATTGGCGCCAGTATTGTTTTATTTGTGAAACTGAGAGCTATGCGGTTCATTGGCATGATCTCTTTGGAATCAGCTGGAAGAAAGGAAACTGGGAGGAAAAATACATTCAAAAGTTAGAGTCCCACTGAATTGAAGTAGCATAAAAACCAGGGGTGAAATGTAAAATTTGTTACTGCCAGTTCTGTGGGCGTGGCTTGGTGGGGTGTGTGTGTAATGTGACTGGGTGGGTGGGGCCAACTTTTTTTTTTAACTTTTCAAAGCATTTTTTCTACAACGTCTTTGGCCAAAGAGGTTGCAGAAAAAAATGCTTTGAAAAGCTTCTGATGATCCCAGCAGAGCCGCGCGATCATCAGAGGCTTTTTTCCCCTACTTTTAAAAGCATTTTTTCGTCAGAAGAGGTTGTAGAAAAAATGCTTTTAAAAGTAAAAAAAAAAAAAAAAGCCTCTGATGATCGTGTGGCTCAGCTGGCCATGGTAGAGGGGCGCAGGGATTTTTGCTACCAGTTCTCCGAACCACCCGCCATTGCTACCGGATCGGGAGATCCAGTCCGAACCGGGAGCATTTCACCCCTGATAAAAACTGTCCAATCAGATTATTCTTTGCATAAATAAAACCCATCTGTTGCACTTATAACAACCATCAGAGTCAGATACAGCACCCAACCCTAGCTTAATTCATTTGTTCTATGTAGAACTTACGGTAACCAAGTTAAGATTTGATTCTGATAAAATGGCTGAATCCACACAAGTAGTTGATTTACAACCATTCGTTTAACAACTGTTCAAGGTTAACAATGGCGCAGAAAAAAGTGACTGATGACTTCTTTTTACACAACTGTGCAGCATCTGTGTGGTCACATGATCAAAATTCAGACACCAGGCAACCAGGGTGTATTCATGACAACTGCAGTGTCCCGTGGTCATGTGACTCCCCTTTTGCAACAAGTAAATGATGGAAGCCAGATTGACTGAACAGATTGACTGTGTTACTAACAACTGCAGTGATTCACTTAACAACCATGGCAAGAAAGGTCGTAAAATGGGGCAAAACTCAACTGTCTTCTTTAGCAACTGAAATTTTGGGCTGAATTGCAGTCACAAGTTGAGGATTACCTGTACATAGAAACCGAGTTGCAAATTTCAATTAATGGCTTGGTTTTACATACAAATCCACTATCCTAGGTAATACTACTGGATTCTGCCATGTCAATCCGGGTACTGAGATATAAGACAACCATTGTTGCTGTTGTTTTTAAAGACCTCCCATTCATTGCAATGAAACTGCAATGAAATTTATAAAACATGTTTCTAATTTTTTGTCATTGCCTAGATTGTTTCATCTGTCTTGATCACGTACCCTATTTTCTCCCCTAAAACGTTAGATGAAAGGGGGCATCATAGCCCCCTTTACTCAATATCCAAGCTCATTTAAGAATAACAGATTAAGAGAATTGGAAGGGCCTTGGAGGTCTTCTAGTCCAGCCCCCTGCTCAGACCCCATGCCATTCACTGAATTTACTATATTTTTATGCCACCTTTTTTATAAGTAACTCAAAATAATGAATCTATTGAACACCCCCACCTCCTCTTTTTCTCTGCTAAAATTTAAATAGAATAAAGCTGGAAGGTCCCTGGTCCCTTAGAGGTCATCTAGTCCAGCCCCCTGCTCAGACCCCATACATGCCATTCACTGAATTTACTATATTTTCATGCCACCTTTTTATATGTAACTCAAAATAAGGAACCTATTTAACACCCCCACCTCCTCTTTTTCCCTACTAGAATTAGAATTAGAATAAAGCTGGAAGGGGCCTTAGAGGTCTTCTAGTCCAGCCCCCTGCTGAGATCCTATACCATTCACTGAATTTACTATATTTTCATGCCACTTTTTAATATGTAACTCAAAATAACGAACCTATTTAAACACTCCCACCTCCTCTTTTTCCCTACTAGAATTAGAATAAAGCTGGAAGGGCCCCTTGGAGATCATCTAGTCCAGCCCCCTGCTCAAGCAGGAGAACCTATATACCTCAGACAACTGCCCTGGGTCGGAAGCGTTGCAGGGGCTTCTGCTGGGCCCAGCCTGTCCCGGGGGAGCTCCAGCCCTTCCCTCCGGCATGGGACGGCTCGGCTCGGAAGCGTCTCCCAGCTCAACTCACCAGGCGCCGGTTCCCATCGCTCGGGGACAGCCTTCATCCGCTGCCGCGCATGCGCCAGGCGACGAGATATGACGTCATTGCCCTGCGCTTTTTCCCCCCTCCTCCCCCCCCTCTCCAGATTCGAAACAGAGATAGGAAAGTGTAGAGATGCCCACGTGTAAACAAACGCCAAAGTTGAGGGTTTTTTTGTCGAATGAACATTGTACAGTTATGCTTACCTAAACGTTCAGTGTGTTATGGAATGAAAGACTGAAAAACATTCCTGGGTCAGCCAGATACAGTTTATTGCGCAGGTTCAGAGCCAGATTTGTACCTGAAATTCTGAACCCCGGAAAGCTCTGATACAACTGCTTATATATGTTTCCAAGACAAAGGGTTTGGTGAGCACATGCATTTTTCCATATATGGTTAACATACACTTGTTATATGATAATTGACACTTCCTAATTACTAAACCATTATTGTCTAGTTTGTAAGATTATCTTTAGCTAGACAATCTTCCTCAGTTCTGTAATTACTAATACAGGAGATTTATTGCTGTCCTTAGGTAATAAGTAACTCTTTGTAACATACATGTCCTTGTGTCTTTGACAGTGAGGCCCCTTAGATGTTTTCCATATGGCTGTCCTTCCGTGACAGGTAGGCCTCATCAGAAGATATATTACCAATAATGGGATTTAGCTGTTTTTTTAATATAATCTCCAAACAAGCACATTTCTCCCTTATAATAATGTGAATAGAGAGGGTCCTTTAGTGTTCATGTAACTGACCTTGTATGATTCCTACTTTATTCACATTAAGTGGATCATTCTCACATCAATAAGATCGTGCCTCCGCGCTTGTCTCGCTGTTATAACGGTCACAGGGAATGTCCCACGTTTTAAATTTTTCAATTTTTTTAGGGTTACTAACCGAATTGATAAAATCCGGTTCGTGGAAAGAAATTTTTTGCTATTCCTATAAACCACCACCTCATATTTTGCCGGGCCAGTTCTGACAAGACGCAGTTTTATTCCACCAAGCCGGCCTAGCCTAAATGGTTTTTAATTGGAATTTTAAATTTTATGGATTTGGGGGTTTTAAATTGGGAAGCCAATGATTTAATTCTTTTTTAATTATCTTAACTTTTGTATCTGTATGTTTTTTAATTTTGGCTGTTCACCGCCTTGAGTCCCCTCTGGGAGAAGGGCGGTATACAAATTAATTAATTAATTAATTAATTAAATAAATAAATAAATAAATAAATAAATAAATAAAATCGTATAAGTTAACTCATGCGTGGATAATAGCTCTCAGCTGATCTCTATGTTTACTGTAAATCTCAAGTCGTCCTCTTATGAACACCATCATAAAGCTTCTGAAAACCGTCATAAAAATTATGAAAACAATCCTAATAAATGCCCCAAAGTGAAACATTATCCTTTCATATAAAGAGAGGCTCCTCTACATTTTTATAGTCTATGGTTTTTAAGCGCCTCGCTTTAAAAAAAGCAACAGGAGGCGTGGGCGTCATTGACGTCATCGAAGGGCGCCCTCCACCGCCAGGCCATTAAAAACCGCGCCCGTTTTACACGTCATCCATTGGCGACCGTCGCGTGCTACCGCTCCATCATGGCGCTCTTGCTGTGGGGAATTCGTGGACCCGCGACGGCCGCCCGATTCCCCTCATGGCTGCCGCTGGCCGTGCGCGGCTGTCCGCAGCGCCAGGCCTCCGGAGCGTCCCCGCCCGACGACCGCGTGGTGCGGATCCCCCACGCTTGGAAGCTGAGGCTGGAGCGTCCGGCGTCCAAGCGGGAGCGAGGCGGGAGCCCCGAGACGGAGGGCAGAGCTTCCTTCGGGGAAAAGCTACTGCTGCGGACCCGGAGGCAGGAATTGAGCCAGGCGGCCCGGCACACGGTGGGCCGCCTGGATAGGCCGCGCTTGGTGTCGGACGGTTGGAAGCACCGCTTGTCCCAGGGGGATTATTTCCAGCTGGAGCGGACGCGGGAGGAGACTCCTCGGGAGCGGAGCGACGACGACGCCCCGTCCACCTTCCTCGAGCTGGGCGTGGAGCCTCGCGTGGCGGCCCCCTTGCAGGAGGTGCTGGGCATCTCGCGGCCCTCGCCGGTGCAACAGCGCGTCATCCCCGCCTTGCTGAAAGGGGGCCACGCTCTGTGCGGGGCTGAAACTGGCAGCGGCAAAACCTTGGCCTACCTGCTGCCTCTCTTCCAGCGGCTCTTGCAGGCTCCAAAGCTCCCTGAGGACGGCCTTTATGCGACCTCTCCGCGCTCTTTGGTGGTGGTGCCCTCTCGAGAACTGGCGGGGCAGGTGTGCAGGGTTGCTGCCCTCTTGGCTGATCCTTTGGACTTGCAGGTGAAGGAGATCGGCGGAGGCCGGGGCACGGCTGTGGTTCGGCGCAGGATCCGTGAGGGTTCCACTGACCTCCTGATCGCCACGCCAGGTGCTCTGAGCAAAGCCCTGAAGAGGAAGATGTTGTCTTTGGAGAAATTGCTCTTCTTGGTTTTGGATGAAGTGGATACTCTGCTGGATGCCTCGTTCATCGATCTGGTGAAAGATATAATTCAACATGCTTTTTTGAAGGATGTCGTCCAGCAAGCTTTTCTGGACCCAACTTTTAAAGACAGGGATGAGGTTTGGGATCCCAAAGCCCAGCTGGTGGCTATGGGCGCTACTCTTCCAAAGGGGCTAAGTCAGATGTTGAGTGAATCTGCCGATCTCTCCAACTTCACCGTATTGACTGGCTCGAGTTTGCACTGTCTTCAGCCTCACGTGAAGCAAAGATTCGTACGTTTGAAAGGTTGTAACAAAGCAGCAGAGCTGCTACAACTCCTCAAAGAGCGAGGTTCGTCTTCTGGAGCTGTTATTATTTTCTGCAACAGAGCCCGCACTGTTAACTGGCTGAGTTACATTTTAGAAGACCATGACATCAAACATTTACGCCTGCAGGGAGAAATAGCAGCAAATGAACGAGCGGGCATATTTAATGCCTTTCAGAGAGGCGAGGCTGACATTTTGTTGTGTACTGATATAGCTTCCCGTGGATTGGACACCATTCATGTAGAGCTCATCATTAACTACGACTTCCCTTTAACATTGCCAGATTACCTGCATCGGGTGGGGCGAATCGGTCGCATCGGCAGTAAATTCCTTGGGACTGCGGTCAGTTTTGTAACCCATAGGTGGGATGTAGATCTTGTTCGGAAAATAGAAACGGCAGCTCGCAAAAGAAGTCCACTCCCAGGACTAGATATAGTTGTTAAGGAGTCTTTGCGTAAAAAGAAGAAATTCTGAATTTGCCTGGAGGACCTAATTTAATGTTTGAAGCAGTTCCTAATATATTTCAGACATTTTGTGTATTTGATTTTGGACCACTCAATTCCTTAATAAAAGTGCGCTAATATATGGGTGCTGACATGGAACAGTCAGAAACTGCAGCTATCCTATAAAAACATGGAGCATGCTTTATTCACCAGATTTATTCAACATATTAACGTATGTTTTGTATTGTCCAAACTGACTTTTATATATTATTCTACAAATGGTAAAATCCAGCAGTTCAGGTACAAAATGGTCTGGTCCTCAGCCATGCCAAACCCCTTCCAGGTTCTGCCATTCCAGGTGCAATTTGATAGTTTCCTGGAAACCAGAAGCAGTTCAGTGCATACTAGTTATTCCATTCTGAATTCAGAAAATTGTATACAGCTAGTCCTCGACTTACAACAGTTTGTTTACTGATCATTACAAGTTACAACGGCACTAAAAAAAGTTGACATGACCATTTTCCACACTTATGACCGTTGTGGCAATCCCATGGTTACGTGATTGAAATTCAGATGCTTGGCAATTGACTCATATTTATGACGGTTGTAGAATCCCGGGGTCATGTGATTGCTTTTTGAAACATTCTGACAAGCAAAGTCAATGGGGAAACCCCATTCACTTAATAACCATCTTACTAACTTAACTCCAGTGAGTCATTTAACTGGCAAGAAAGGTCATAAAGCGGGGTAAAACTCATTTAACAAATGTCTCACTTAGCAACAGAAACTATGGCCTCAATTGTCATAAGTCGGGGACTACTTGTATATCTTTAATTTTGTTTGGACTATTATAGTCCAATGGATCATATACTCATTGCTCATATGGGCAGGTTTCTGGTTTGAGGTTTCTACAGACCTTATCACATTATAGGTTGGTGATGCCAGTCAGTGGCTTAATGCTTGTGGAACAGCAAAGCTGCTGCAGTAAATGTAATGGAGTTGTATGTCCCACCATTTTATGGTATTCGAGTTCTTCCAAAACCAAACCTCTTCCCAAATTCCTACAATCATTGTTTGTGTCTTTATCATGCCTGCTATAAACCACTCTATTGACTCATATCAGGGTTTGGTTTTTTTTACTTTTTTACTATCGGGTGTTTTTTTTTAGCATCTACTTTTTTAGATCTATTTTTGCTGCTGAACCTCACCAGGAGGCTTGATCCATAGCAGTTTTGCTTTCAGTGCCAGAACACAAATGTTAACAAGGGAAAGAAGTGCCTCTGAGCTTGTCTAGAGAGCTTTGAGTAGGTGATGTGGACATTTGCAGCTATCCAGCTTACCTTGAAGAGTACAGAGGCAGACACGGCAGCACCATGAGCAGTAATATCCAAGGTCTCTTAAGTGCAGAGGTCTTCAAACTTGGCAGCTTTAAGACTTGTTGACTTCATGTGATCTACATCAAAGCAGCTGCTATTTCCAATCAGAACAGACAACTTGCCACGGGACGAAGCATATTTACTCCACCCATAGCAATCAGAAATGGCCAAGTTCTTGCATCTTTTTTATTCAGATGCCACAACCTGTAGCAAATCTGAACTGCACCATCTGACTTAAAGGGATGAATGCAGTGGTGAAATCCACATTTTTTTACTACCGGTTCTATGGGCATGGCTTGGTGGGCGTGGCAGGGGAAGGATACTGCAAAATCCCCATCCCTCCCCACTCCTGTGGGAAGGATATTGCAAAATCTCCATTCCCACCCCACTCGGGCCAGCCAGAGGTGGTATTTGCCTGTTCTCCAAACTGCTCAAAATTTCTGCTACCGGTTCTCCAGAAGCTGTCAGAACCTGCTGGATTTCACCCCTGGATGAATGGTGTAACCTGAAATCTCAGTTGAAAGTCAGCTGGTTGCTGGGGTTGTATTTAAAACTCGGCTTGTGAGTATGCTTGCAAACTTAGTTTCTTGCAGAGCATACTGTGCAAATATAGACACTCTGCTTGGTTGCTATTAAAGATACAGAAATAAAACCAGAAAGAGCAATACTTGAGAAATTTCAAAGACGTATCCTGCAGGGTTTGGGGGATTTTTCACCACTATATTCTTCTGTTCCTTGGCTTTCTGGCTCCTGTCCAGTCACTGTATTGGTATCAAGGTGATGGCTACTTAACAAGTAATCTTAACGGAGTCTGTCCTGTATGGGGTTAAAAAGACTTTTTTTGAAGCAGCAACGAAAGTTTGGTTTTAAGAAAACCTCTACATTCATAAAATAAAATAAAATAAAACTAAAGAGCATTTTTAATACTGACTGGGATTAACCCTAACTCTCTACATTCTACCATTTTACCAATTAGACACAAGAACTCCATGTTGTTTCGGATCACAAAGGTAACAATACTACAAAAAAAATACACCCTTGATTCCTTTCTAATCTAGCACAAGGTCAAGTCTTTTTTAGGTCAAGCTGTACTCCTTGTGATTTACACAGATCATAAATCAAGGAAACAATATATCAGAGGTTCACTTCATTCTTGGTCAAGCATTGTAGGAGGAGAACTATGCTTGTTTGTTGTAGTCTGGTAACCCCTTTTCCTGCTACCAAAATTTATTAAAACAGGAGCCACAGTTCACTTCAAGCTAAGGCATCTGATTTTTTTGTTGTTGTTGTTGTTATTGAACCTTACTTTCCAACCAAGATTTATGTCGTGTTGACATTTGTGCTGCAATTTTAAGTTTCTAGGAACCGAAGGGTTGTTGTTACCTACAACCACTTGGGATTCAGCAAGACTGGTTGTAGATTTGGAGTATCACATGATACGTTGCAGTGGTGAAATCCAATTTTTTTTACTACCAGTTCTATGGGCGTGGCTTGATGGGCATGGCAGGGGAAGGATACTGCAAAATCTCCATTCCCACTCCACTCCTGGGGAAGGATATTGCAAAATTTCCATTCCCACCCCACTCCAGGGGGAAGGATATTGCACAGTCTCCATTCCCACCACACTTTGGGGCCAGCCAGAGATGGTATTTGCCGGTTCTCCGAACTGCTCAAAATTTCTGCTACCGGTTCTCCACAACCTGCTGGATTTCACCCCTGATAGGTTGCTATGCAATCCATCAATCTTCATAGCTTAGCACAGTTCTCAACCTGTGGTCTGTGGACCCCGGGGAGTGGGGGGGGCTGCAATGTCATCACGGGGTCCACGAAGAAATGTTATGATTTAAATCTTGAATTAAGTCTTAAGAGCCTGTGGCCACAAAAGATATTTAAAGGGGGTTGTGTGATAAAAGATTGAGAACCACTGGCTTAGCATACAAATATATGTATACTATATTTCAACTTCCTTATTCTAAACGTTTCTAAATGCAGTTTATTTTACACCTGCCTGAGCAGGTTAGAAATTCTTTTTCCAGGTAATCCTCGACTTTACAGCCATTTGTTTAGGAACCATTCAAAGTTACAGCAGTGCTGAAAAAGTACATCAGACACTTATGACTGTCGCAATATCTCTCTGGTCACGTAACTCATTTGCGATTTCTCAGCTGGCTTCTGACAAGCGCAGTCAATGGGGAAGCCAGCAGAAAAGGTCAGAAGTCACAGTCTCATGATGTCTCACTTAACAACATGGTGATTCACTTAATACTCATGGGGGGGGGAAAGGGCATAAAATCGAGTGGGGTCATGCAATGCCTTGCTTAAGGATTTCATCCCTTAACGACGAATGTTATCATTCCTATTATGGTCTTACTTGAGGGGCTGTCACAGAGAAGACAGGATCTACCTATCCTCCAAAGCACTTGAGTGCAGGACAAGAAGTAATCGGTGGAAATTCATTAAAGAGAGATCCAGCCTGAAACTAAGGAGAAATTTCCTGATAATGAGGGCAATTAATGGAACAGCTTTCCTCCAGAAGTTGTGGGTTTTTAATCACTGGAGGCTTTTAAGAAGAGATTGGACAGCCATTTGTCTGAGAATGTACAGGATTTCTTGCCATGGACTAGAAGACTTTCAAGGCCCCTTCCAACCGTATTCTTAATTCTATGGTCATAAAATTAAGGACTGCCTGTACCTTGATTTTCACAATGCTGACCCAGTTACAGTTTGCCGAGGGAGGAGGCAACTCTGCCATTGACTGGACTTGTGTAACATAAAACACAATTTACAAGCCATCATGGCTGGATTCACTTAGCATGATAAGCCAACAATAAACAAGCCACATTATGACTTGGACTGCCATGTGAATCGAACCAATATCTCAGCTGGACCAGACCATAGTAAGCGTTGCCGACAAGCAGAATAGTAACTGTTTAGCAGCTGAGAAACGGGACGTTTTTAATGCAATGTGCTCCAATTTGCAAAGATAGACGAGATGCACACGGTTCTTTTCCCATCACAGTAAAAGTAATCAGTAATGCTTTACTTAACATCTTACATCAGTAGTGCGATACAAGAACAATGGATTCTCACTGGCTTCTAAACTAAGGGTTTCAACAATACACAATTAGTAACTTTGACAACCAAACAAAACCATATCCGGACACAAACATTAACCAACGCTGCAGTGTTCAGCTTTGAACAGAAAAATACATCTTGACTTCTTCAATGTTTCAAAGATAATACTATAATAACCGCAGTTCTAAATCTGGCCAAACTGAAGTGTCTGTGTTATGTATAAAAGCACACTCTCTCATCTGTCTTTATGCTGTTCTAGATGGAACTTGCAACCAAGTGTGGTAAACTGCATTTGAGGCTCAGTTTTAAACTTCAGTTTTCCCAGATGGAATTTCCTTTACACACAGATGGTGTTTGGCCACATGTGGACAACCCACAGTTTAAATGCTGGGGGTGGGGGGGAAAGAACATGTCTCCATTCCAAGCTGTTGGATCCAGTCTGAAGGCTTGTATGATCTAGTGGTGAAAAAAAGGAAATTCAGAGTTCATGATTCATCATGGATTGCTGTGGTCCATCTTGCTCGGCACCTGAGCAACTACAGCTCATCTACGTTCTTCCAGAGAAGGTCTTCTCGTAGACTTCCAGCGATGTGCCAAGCATTCTTCCCCAAAAGACGACAGACCAGTGGTGGGTTGCCCCCGGTACGGACCGGTTCGCAAGAACTGGTAGTAAAATCGGCGGGAGGCCCCGCCCACTGCCCTGGATGTCGTCATCAGTGATCTGCGCATGCGGAGAAGCAAGGTGCGCGAGCGATCCTGTTGCGAACCGGTGGTAAAGGTAAGTAGAACCCACCCCTGCGACAGACCCAGGATCTAAACCAGTCTTGGGATTCAAATTTTTTTACTACCGGTTCTGTGGGTGTGGCTTGATGGGCATTGCGTAGCTTGGTGGATGTGGCTTGGTGGGCATGGCAGGGGAAAGATACTGCAAAATCCCCATTCCCTTCCCACTCCTGGAGGAAGGATACTGCAAAATCCCCATTCCCTCCCCACTCCTGGGGGAAGGATACTGCAAAATCCCCATTCCCTCCCCACCCCACTAACCCGCTTTCCAGCTCCGTTTTCCTGTGCAGGGCAACAAAAGAATATCCAGCCAATTAGCTGGGACTCAGGAGGCAGTGAATAGATGGGGGTGGGGCCAGCCAGAGGTGGTATTTGCCGGTTCTCCAAACTACTCAAACTTTCTGCTACAGGTTCGTTAGAACCGGCTGAATACCACCTCTGATCTAAACCATGTTATTTCATTGACTATGACAGTTAATCAAAATGAAATAACCCAATTAGTACCATCGCTTCTCATCATGTCTTCCTTCCTATCCAAGTCGGGATGTTCCCGCAGATACGTGAATCTCAGCTCTATGATATCTCTACAAAGGCATTATTTGATGGAGGATTCTGGGAGTTATCCATGCATCCGGAAGCAGCTCAAGGTAGCAGCTGCCCCGATTTTGAAGGGCTACTAGGTAAACCACTTTCAGGGCATGGAGGGACTGCATTTGGTGTGGAAACCCTCAAATTGTGTCCTTTGTGCTGCATAGTTTGACAGTTCTCCAGCAGTTCCTAATTTCAGAGTATCCGGCAGTGCTTCGTTCATTAGGGGTGTTTCTCCATATTTTGTTTACATTCCAATGAACTTCGGGGAGGGATGGCTAGTTGCAAATTAGAAAGCAGTGGTCTTTCTTTCATACACAAAAAAACAACGCATTATAATATACTTTTTCTGTTTAAGACAGCTTGGAATTTGCACCGTTCCTGAACGTACAATGCTCTTTACATTTTTAGTTCTCTGGGTTGCAATGAAATTCTCGAAAATATTCAGACCAAGACAGGGTGGTGGCTGAAATAGATTTCAGACAGTCAGCAAAAAGCAAAGTGCCATGGTCCCTCTTGTTCTTTCCATGACTGCAGAATAAATTAACACATATCAATAATGAAAAGTGCAAAATCAATTTTTCCAAAGCAAGATAAAGCTTCGCAACCTTGCACGATTTGATGCACAGAGGGTTTTACTTCGGTGCAAACTTTCTGAAAAGTAGTGGCACACACAAAAGCACCAACCGTCACCCTAAAAAAAAAAAAAACCGAGATGCTTTCTGTGAGCTGAAGGGTTCTAGGGCTTGGTAGCAGCCACCTTAAGAGAGCTTGCTGTGCTGGGGGTCTCCTTTTCACTGCCTTTTTCAGTAGCAGGCAGCAGGTAGAAATTAGTACCTTCCAGAACATTGGAACTTTCCCTTCAGGCAATATGAGAAGCAGCTCGTTATCCTTTCTAAGCCACGAATGGACTAGGGCTGAAAAAGTCAGAGTGGTGACAACGAAGAATGGGTAGCATAACCATGGTGAACAAGACGGATGGGTAATATTGTCATGATGGCCATGACGGATGAGTACTATAACCATGGTGACCATAACAGATGGGTAATATCATCATGGTGGCCATGACAGGTAATATAACCATAGTGAGCATGATGGATGGGTAATATCACCATGGTGAATATCAGAGATGAGTAATATAACCGTGGTGTGCATGATGGATGGATAATATCACCATGGTGAATATCAGGAATGGGTAATATAACCATGGTGAGCATGAGAGATGGGTAATATAACCATGGTGAGCATGAGAGATGGGTAATATAACCATGGTGAGCATGAGAGATGGGTAATATAACCATGGTGAGCATGAGAGATGGGTAATATAACCATGGTGAGCATGAGAGATGGGTAATATAACCGTGGTGAGCATGAGAGATGGGTAATATAACCGTGGTGAGCATGAGAGATGGGTAATATAACCGTGGTGAGCATGAGAGATGGGTAATATAACCGTGGTGAGCATGAGAGATGGGTAATATAACCGTGGTGAGCATGAGAGATGGGTAATATAACCGTGGTGAGCATGAGAGATGGGTAATATAACCGTGGTGAGCATGAGAGATGGGTAATATAACCGTGGTGAGCATGAGAGATGGGTAATATAACCGTGGTGAGCATGAGAGATGGGTAATATAACCATGGTGAGCATGAGAGATGGGTAATATAACCGTGGTGAGCATGAGAGATGGGTAATATAACCGTGGTGAGCATGAGAGATGGGTAATATAACCGTGGTGAGCATGAGGGATGGGTAATATAACCGTGGTGAGCATGAGAGATGCGTAATATAACCGTGGTGAGCATGAGGGATGGGTAATATAACCGTGGTGAGCATGAGGATGGGTAATATAACCATGGTGAGCATGAGAGATGGGTAATATAACCGTGGTGAGCATGAGAGATGGGTAATATAACCATGGTGAGCATGAGAGATGGGTAATATAACCTTGGTGAGCATGAGAGATGGGTAATATAACCATGGTGAGCATGAGCGATGGCTAATATAATCGTGGTGTGCATGGTGGATAGGTAATATCACCATGGTGAATATCAGGGATGGGTAATATAACCATGGTGAGCATGAGAGATGGGTAATTTAATAATTATGTACCTGACTCATGAATAATATCACCATGGTAAATATGATGGATGGGTAATATCACCCTGAGGAACATGATGAATGGCCTGCTCAGGCCAGCTTTCCCAAGATAAACCCATTTCTGATCACTTTTGCATGGCCACCCGTTTGCTTTTCTTCCCGTACTACTTTGAGCTTCGGCTTCCCTTTCACACGTTGGTTGTGGAGTGAGTGGTGGAAAAATTCTCCATGCGAACTCTCACCAGCTTGTCCGCAGGGGCCGGCTGAAGGAGGAACTTGCAAGTGAAGACTTGACGGCAGGCGTTGCGGAAATTCTCCGAGAGGAAAGCGTAGATGATGGGGTTGATGCAGGAGTTCCCGTAGGCCAAGCAATGGGAGATGATGCGGAAGGTGAAGGAGATATTGTTCAGGGGGAACTGCCCAAACTCGGCCCACATTGTGATGATGTGGTGTGGGAGCCAGGAGATCAGGAAGACGGCAACAACCAGCAGGACAGTTTGCGCCGTCTGCAAGGAAAGAAATTTTGGAGAGACAAACTGTGAAAACTGCAACTCGCACATCATCATTTTTTTTTTTTTACAAAGGTGGCATATGCCAGTGGTGGCAAACCTTTTTGGCACCGAGTGCCCAAACCGGAATATGCATGCATCTGCGCGCGCCAGAGTGCCAGAACCTTGAACCAGCTGGCCAGCACATACACACTGGTTTTTTGGCCATTTTTGGGGCCATTTTCAGGTTGTTTTCTGGGCCATTTTCAGGTCATTTTTCGGGCTGTTTTGAGGCCCTTTTTGGGCAGTTTCCAGGCTGTTTTTGGCCCCCCAAAAAACCTGGCCTGTTTTTTTTTTTTTTGTCGTTTTTTGAGGTGTTTTCAGTCCATTTTGGGATCTTTTTGGGGACATTTTCCAGCCATTTTAGGGGACATTTTTAGGCTGTTTTGGGGCCTATTTTCTGGCCATTTTCTGAGCTGTTTTCTGCCCATTTTTCAGCCATTTTCAGGCCGTTTTTCAGAAACCAGAAGAGCAGCTGGTGATGGTGCATGTGCCCACAGAGAGGGCTCTGTGTGCCACCTCTGGCACGGGTGCCATAGGTTCGCCATCATGGGCATATGCCAAGCTTTGTTTAACTATATCTCAAGCGATGGGCAACAGTCGGATTGCCAACATTCAACTGTTTCCAACCTGACAGCCATCAAAAGGTTTTTTTTTTAAAAAAAGTAATTCTTAAACTGGGCTCGTAACAGATTGACAGCAAACATAATTTTATTTTTGCTACAGAGAGTTGGGAGATTAATATCGCAAGTGATCTCATCCGTCAAATGAGCTTGAACATTTTCATTTTGGAAAAAAACCCACCACTGTTTTCTTGTTTCTTGTTTAATTGTTCTGCTGTTTTAATTGTATTCCTGGCAGTGCTTACAGTCCTGACGTGAAGCCATCAAGAAATCTCAGTCTGTCGTTCTCCCTCCCTCCCTTCTCTCACACACACATATACACAGAGAAAGATAAATTTAAGTGTTGTGCAGTAGTTATGGTGTTGGATTAGAATTGGGGAGAGTTCAGTTTTAATTCCCCCTCAACCAAACAATTTCACTGGGTGATTTTGGGCCAATCGCTCCCTAGCAAATCAACCTATTTTATTACATTGTAAGGAAAAATAGGACAGGACATTGAGTACCACTGGCTTGAAGCCCTGAATGAATGAGGGATAGGATAAAAATCTTTAAAAGTTACGGAACAGTCGCTTACTAAGATTGGATTCATAGAACATGCTTAAGCAGGTTGATTTCACATCTAGCAGACAGATTCTCACAGTGTGATAAACTCAATTAGTGATAACTTGAGTTAGGGTTTTTTTACACTTCTGTCTGTGAATCCAATCTGTTCATCTTACTGTTTAATGCAATATCTCTCACCTTCCCCAGCAACGTTCAGATGTGTGGACAGCATGCCGACTGGAAATTCTAGGAACTGAAATCCACATATCTTAAAGTTGCTGAGTATTTTTTATTTATTTTTATATGCCGCCCTTCTCCGGAGACTCAGGGAGGCTTACAATGTGTTAAGCAATAGCCTTCATCCTTTTGTATATTTTATACAAAGTCAGTTTATTGCCCCCACAAACTGGGTCCTCATTTTACCCATCTTAGAAAGGATGGAAGGCTGAGTTGACCTTGAGCCTGGTGAGAATTGAACTCGCAGTAATTGCAGGCAGCTGGATGTTAAATGCTGCCTCAGTAGGAGGCATTAGCCTCCTACGCCACTCAGGCTCCTGAGTATTGTAGGAAGTTAGCACCCACCCCTCTCCTAGAAGAATGAAATATTTTAGGAAATAATAAAAAGGCAGAATATTATATTTCCCTGGATGAGAAATGGAGAAACATGTTTTAAAGACAAAGCAGCTTCCTGCCTCCCCCCACCTTTGTCAATGAGCCATTAAGGCCTCAGCCAAGCTCACTCATTCCCTCCACCTTTGTCAATGGACCATCATCTGCAACACAATGAACCCATCTAGCAACAGAACTCACCTCATGGCACCTGGGAAGATTACATCAGCCAGCAAGGCTAGCTAAGACCTCCACCCCCTGGGAGTCTGACAACCAATCAGGATACTCTTTTGGGGCCCCAAGAAGTTCAAAGCTCAGAGAGGGCATAAAACAAAGGCACGCTCAGCATCTCGGCCCTTTTTCTGCTCAGGAACTCAAACCATGTGATCCTGTCCACCATTAAACCATCTTTCCAAGCCGTCTCCATGTTTCCAGTGTCTTTTTCCCCACTTGGAACTGAACCCAGATGGATATTTTCTTCCAACAGTTTCACAAACACTTGTTTAATGTATTCCATGATTCCCCACAGAACTCTAAAGTTTTAAGGACCTTGGAGAGTTCACATCCTCTTCCCTTCTATAGTTGATGACTTTCTGTTGACTTTTAAAGAGTGCTTGACCTTCTACAACAGGGGTCTCCAACCTTGGCAACTTTAAGCCTGGTGGAAGGATAGAAGGCTGTGTCAACCTTGAGCTGGTGAGATTTGAACTGCTGAACTGCAGCTAGCGGTCAGCTGAAGTAGCCTGCAGTACTGCACTCTAACCACTGCGCCACCTCGGCTCTTAATGCGAAGTTTGAAAATATGACACCTCTTTGGCACTGGTGGACATCTGCGGTTAGTAGGTTTTTTAGGATTTGGAGACTGTAGTAGACTCAAACCAAGGTGAAGCACCCGAAATATTTTATTGAATAAACATTAAGAGAGTTAACGAGAAAAAGATAGACCAACCCACATCTCTTCAACTTGCCAGGAGCTCCAAAGAAATGGTAGTGAATGAAACACCCTGAGTTGTCTGGCTGTTGTGCAGCACCTTTTCTTCCATGGCTCTTTAGAACAGCAGTCACCAACTGGTGGTCCACAAGAAAATGTTGGTGGTCCACAGAAACATTATTTGCATTTTTTATATTGCATGAAATCAGGGGTCCTCAACCTACGATCCCTGGATCAGATATGTGCAATGAACATTTGTGTTGCTGCTGAGAGTCTCCCCCTTCGGGGTCTTTTTGTGTGGGTCGGAGGGAGGCAGAAATTCTGATTTCGGGTCTGCTTCAGCCTCCTGGTGTGGGGCTTTGGGCGAAGGCTGGAGGGAAGTACCGCTGGTGGCAAAGAGCCAGAGGGCCTCGTTCCAGTGGGACTGCATCATGGCCTGGAACTGGCTGACCATCTCAGCCTGCTGAACCTCAAGGTACCTGGCCTTGCACTCCCGCAGGTCTTCCCTCTGCTTGGAAAGCCTACGCTTCTAGTCTTTAGTGAAATGCTTCTGCTGAGCCTCCTTCTAGGTCAGATCCAATTTGAACTGAGCCAGCTGTTTTGCCAACTCTTTCTCGTGGTGGCTGCTTAGCTCCAACAACTGCTTCCTTTTGGGGCCCTAAGGAGCTCAGGCAGGCAGGCGAGGAGTAGCGAGTAGAGGCTGGCAAGGCGCCCCTCAATGTGAGTGAGTTTAACCACGCCCACCCAGTCACATGACCACCTTGCCACGCCCACCCAGCCGGTCATTAGGCAGATCATATTAGTGGTCTGCGGGATTTAAAATTATGAATTTAGTGGTCCCTGAGGTCCGAAAGATTGGTGACCCCTGCTTCAGAACACTCTAAAGAGCACTATCAATACATTCAGAAGGAACCGACTATGTTCACACAACACCGTGCAAAGTTAGTTGAACCCAATTGCGGTTTATTTAAGTAACCCTACTGTCTGGCTTGACTTGACACACTGAAGCAGGATCTCATCCCACCCAACCCCCGCCCCACCATTTGCGTCTGCGTCGTACGTTAGACGAAAATGTGGTGAGCTCATTTGCGGTTCACGCACGTGCTACACACATCTTAGCCCTTGACAAATTTGGAGAGGGGAAAAAATTGAACATCCCTGTTCAATAGAAAGCTATTATCTGCACTGTCCTTTTAACACTACTTACTTTCTGGGAGCTGACAATTATGGTCAGGTCTGGATTTGATTCATCACCCAAACTTTACCGCAGAGGTACCAGCCCTACATTAGCACTTCCAGGACTAAAGTGCTATTGAAAATACTCTAATTACACAGCTCTTGGTTACGTCCAGAAAGCAAAGTATTTTGTCCTGAATGCATTCAGTGGTTGGCTGGAGGGGGGGGGCGGGAGGAGAAGGGGGGGTGGAAGAAAACCCAGAACCTCTGAGTCATTTGTTGAATAGCTTTCAGTGGTTCTGCCTTGAGATTTGTTTTGGTAACTCTGACTAAATAATTGCCACGCAAATGGCAAAGAGGAAGGGTGGGAGGTGATGGAGGAAAGAGACCTTCTGGCAGAGAAATTCCAGAGAAAGCGATCAGAATCAGACACAGCCACATCTTGGGGCAGATTGCAGTGTAACCTTGGCCAACAGACAAACCAAACGAACTGATGTTCGTTGCGATTACTCCTCAAATTACAACCGTTCATCCAGGCCACTTGGCCGCTATTTCAACCAGGGGTGAAATGCTCCTGGTTCGGACCGGATCACCCGATCCGGTAGTGATGGCGGTGGGTGGTTTGAAGAACCGGTAGCAAAAATCCCTGCCCCCACCCCCATGTTCAGCTGAGTCGCATGATCATCAGAGGCTTTTTTTTTTTTAAACGTTTGAAAGCATTTTTTCTACAACCTCTTCCGAGGTTTTCGGAAGCATTTCTGAAAAAATGCTTTTAAAAGTAAAAAAAAAAAAAAAGCCTCTGATGATCGTGCGGCTCAGATGGGATCTTCAGAGGCTTTTCAAAGCATTTTTTTCTGCAACCCCTTGGCCGAAAAGGATGTAAAAAAAAATGCTTTGAAAAGCTTCTGAAGATCCCAGCTGAGTCGCATGATCATCAGAGGCTTTTTTTAAAAAAAAAAACGTTTGAAAGCATTTTTTCTACAACCTCTTCCGAGGTTTTCGGAAGCATTTCCGAAAAAATGCTTTTAAAAGTAAAAAAAAAAGAAAAAAGCCTCTGATGATCGTGCGGCTCAGCT